AGACAAAAAGAACAGAAGGAAATACTCCATGATGAACCAGTCACATCATATGGCTTTGGACAGCAGAGAGAAACAGCCCTACATAATCCTTCAGATACAGAACATTTGTGTTTTACAAACAGAAGAAAATCAAGTAGGCTACACTGACCAGTCTGAGCAGACTGAAGATCAACAAGTTTATGTACAGAACACAACCTCCCAAGAACTTCAAGGAGAACCGTTGTCAGTAACTACCACTAGAAGTACAGAATCCTCTGGAGAAAGTTATATTGAAGTGACAGAACCTACACCCAAAGAATTAACACAAGGCACTGAAGGAACATGCCACAAGATAGATACACCAAAAGAAGCAGTTCAAGCTCATTATCATCTTAAAGACTTGGAAAGCAAAACAAATGATCTCAGCAATGCAGACACAAAAATACCAACATGCTACCAGTCATTTCAGAAACAATAATGACATGGATTTATGCACCACGTTGAATAGCAAGGAAATGTCATTCTAGGTTGAGAAAGATCCATTGAAATGTCAGCATTGGGATCTACCTTTTGCCAATTTGCCGTGAACATACAAAAACCAAGCCCAGTTTTGCTCAAAGAATTTATTCCATTCCATCAAAGTAAATGGAGAAACTACCCTAGTGTATTCTCCCACAAAAGAAAATGTCTAATATTTTGTGTGCAAGCTCTTCTCTAATCAAACTGCCTCAAATACAGCTGTAGCTTCTGCTGCATTCGATGATTAGCATCATGCTTATCTTGTTCAAACTCAGTAAAACTGTAAAAATCATACGAACTCTGTGCTAACATACTCAACAAGAAAGTGCTCACATCAAAACTCAATGAGCAAATCAAATCAGAGCAGGATTAATGGACACATGTACTTCAACAAATTATTGCAGTGATTTCCCCATAGCAGGAATATGGCTTTGCATTTAGAGGAGATGTTGAAATATTTGGTTCACCAAAGAATGGTAACTTTCTTGGATTGCTTAAGCTAGTTGCCAAATTTGATCTCTTCCTGTGTGCTTACATAAATCAGTATGGAGCTAAAGGCTCCATAGTGTGCCTCAATGCAGTAAATATTTTTAGCATAATAAATGAGCTTTACTTTTTTTTTTCTCAGCTTCTACAAAAGATGGGCAGTGCTAATATATATCTTGCCTCATGAGAAGAAAGTTCCTAAACATTTATCAGACACAAGATGGAAGACTCATGCCAAAGCTACTGCAGCTATTAGTGAAAGTTATGCTAACATTGTTGAAGCCCTCAGTCATATTTACTGTGATAAAAATGGAAAAGGAGATGCTAGATGACAGGCTGAAAATCTTCTGCAGGAACACATTTGCTAGACCAAATTTCATAAAGTTAGCAAGGCACTCCAAAGTTTACAAATTTCATTGAGCACATGTGCAAATATTTATAGCTCACTATTGCAGTTCATATCAAACTCTCACGCTAATTTTGATGAAATTGAACAGCAAGCAGAGAATACAAAAAATACAACGATGGGACAGCACCCAAAGCCTTAGATGAACTTTCTCCAAGAAACTAGTTTGGAGAATGGATAAATGGAGACTAGTGTCCATTTATCCCTGTCATGGACACTCTTGAAGCCAATCTAGACAGAAGAGCAACAGTGTATAGGAATGTAACTGGCAGTTTTTCATTTTTGGTAAACCTTCGAGCAACCAAGGAACAGAATCACAATGGCATTGAGATGTTAATGCAAAGAACATGCAAAGGATGTTGACTTTTAGTCTAGCTGAAGAACTCTTGCACTTCCACCTGTATATCAAACAAGCTCTCCCTGAAGAAGAAAATTTCAGCCACCAAGATATATATCAAATAATATTCCAAGAGAACATCTGGATAGCTTTTCCAAATGTGGAAACAATTTTCAGATTGTTCCTGCATTTAATGGTTACTAACTGTACTGATGAAAGATCATTTTCTAGACTAAAAAGGATAAAGAATCTACAGTCAACAATGTCCCAAGTTTGGTTGTCTGATCTAAGTATTCTGTGCATAGAAAATGACAAACTGCAACTTACTGATTTTAATGATATAATTGATAAGCCCTAAATAGCGTTGGACCACATTGTATTAGGGAGCACCTTGCTCCATATATTCCTTCCTGTTGGCTAAGATCATCAACTGAGGAACTCCTACAAGTTCTTCTCCCTAAACAAGTTAAGGGGAGGTTGTAAGGAGGAGGGCCTTTTCTGAGGTGGTACCCCAATTGTGGAACGCTCTACCACCAGAGATTCATCAGGCACCTACCTTGTTGAGCTTTAGGTATCTGACAAAAACTTTCCTTTTTTGGCTCACCGATGGCACCACTTAGATCATCTATATTAACTGCACTGGTTTTAATACATTAATTTATGTTTTACCTTTACTTGACTATGTTTATTGTGATTTTATCTTATTTTATTTATTATGATATTTTAGTGTTTTATCTCACTTAGTGTTAGTATCAGTGTTTTTATTGTAATGGCTGCCCAGAAAGTGGGATACGAATGGGTGGCTTTCAAATAAATCCAGTAAATAATTACTGGAATTGGCCAGATTCAAAAGGGCAGGGCTCCTACAACTAGAGTCAAATTAAAGTCTCTGAATGCTCTAGGCATTCTCATAGCCATAGACTCCCAAGATAGACAAATATTTACATTGTAAAATTACCAATTGCTTTTACATAGCAGACATAATCAGAAATGTTGCTTCAGTGGCCCAGAGATATCCCATCCCTTGTATGTAAGGAGGGTAGGGAGGTTTGTAGTTTTTCTTTTCTCATTTTCCTCTATAAATTTCAAGTTCTGAAGAATAATTTCCATGTAATGAACTTGCTGTGTTTTTCCACCTCTAGTTGGTAGAAAATGTATTTTAATGTACATCTGTGTGTGTGTGTGTGTGTGAGAGAGAGAGAGAGAGAGAGAGAGAGAGAGAGAGAGAGAGAGAGAGAGAGAGAGAGAGAGAGAGAGAGAGAGAGAGAGAGAGAGAGAGCGAGCGCATTAAACAGCTTTTGATCAGTTTTCATTGGTCCTCAGCTAGTGAGCAATTGTGGAACACATTGTTTTCCCTACTGAGTTGCCCTTGAAGATGGTTTGAAATGCAGTAGTCAGATTGGGACCTGTAGATTTGAACATATAAGACTGCTTCTGGCTGCCTGTATGCTTCTGGGCCCAGTTTAAGGTGCTATAAGCCTTGGGACCACAATAACAAAAGAACAGCACCATCCAACTACAAGGAGAGGACCCAATGCAAACAGAACGGATTTAGGTTTGAGCACCAGTGAAAAGTTCTGCACAGTCTTTCCATCGTATACTGGATAAACTTATCGCTGAGATAGGTTGACAGCAAGCAACACTCAGTAAAACATTTTGCTTCCTTTTGGATAGGCTGGTGTCCAGTGATGAAGTGGCCTCTGCTTTGACAGATGAATTTCTGTTTCCACACATATTTATGCAGCCAAGAAATACAGGGCAGAAATTATCATTGCACAAATGGCAGACAAGCTGGTGATAAGTTTTCCACATGCTTTTAAAATGTATCTTGCCATTTTTGGAATGAGTTGTGATGGAAGAGTATTCTTTTGCTAAGTTGAAGCATGTAACATGGTCTTGGGTCAACCATGGGACAGAATCAAATATCTTCACTAGTAAGTCAACACAACTAAGTGCTATGAACCAAGCTGGCAATCCAAAGGTTCTCAGCATGCTCTCATTTTTGCTTGTGGTGCATTTATTCATAGGTATCACGCACTGCGGACATTATACTTTTCAAATGCTAGACATTTTTATGCTCACTACATTCTTCGAAGGCAGTTTTCTGCTTGTAGTCATTAAAGACACAATGAACTGGCATGGTTAACTGAGGCATGCTAGACAGTAGTTGGAGTTTTTTCTATCTAAACATGCATAGCATTACATTCTAAGTGAATAAAACTATGAAAGGGCATGATGAGCTATATTACATTTTTCATATGCTTTCAGGCTTCATTCACCTGGAACTTCTTATAAGTTCATTGCATTGAAAATAGATCGACCTGGTAAAATTTCCTTGTCCCTAATTATATTTTGCCTTGTACATTGAAAAGAAAGGAAATTCAAAGAAAGCAAGGGAAACTCTTCTAACATTTAATGAGGCTTTGGAGACTTTGGCACATTATAATCACAAATAAAATCTCTAATAAGGGGAAAGGTGTTGGAGCACTTTCTATAGTTAGATGATTGGAAACACATTAAATTGCTATTATAAATGCTGATTTTATTCTAGTTGATTTTAAGATTAAGACATACTTGCATTAATTCCATGAAACCCTTGGCCTAATTTTAAAACCTTCAGCATACAAGCAATTCAGACCGTTGGCAAGAGCCATCGGACCCCTCTCTGACAACCAGCTGGGCAGGATGGAAAGAGAAAGGGGGTGGCAGGAAGAAAAGGGGTGATTCTGGCCCTGCTTTGGTCCCTTCACCATGTTCCACCCCAACAGAGCTCACAAGAGCTCCTTGGCGGTAATTTTGAGGCCTGACCTCAGGAGAGAAGGTCTTCTTGGCCATAAGCTCCCCACTTGTGGAATGGTCTCCCCAGTGGGACCACTTAGCGCCAAATTGTCATCCTAGAAAGTTGAGACTTTCTAAATGCCTCTCCGGCATATGATTTCCTATGACAGTTGTTCTATTGGATCCAAGCATTTTATTGTTAACTGTGTGGGTTATTTAAATGTTTATCTTAAAGGATTTATATTAGGTTTTGTTATATCATGTTTTGGGTTTGAATGTTTGTTCACTGCCAAAAGCACTTTGGTGGTATATATAAACGGGATGGATGGATGGATGGAGGTATATTAATGCACTTTTGCCTTTTGTGTTCCTTTTTATGAAAGATTGGTATGTGGCTAGACAGTGTCAAACAGTTGCAGCCAAGTTAAGCTTTCCCAGGTCTAGATGGCTGGCGTGCACCTGTGGACTCCTGATTTTGTCCTGTTGTGTCTGCAGCACGGTGATGCAGTCCATGATCTGCTCCTGGATGTTATTACATGGGTCGGCATCCTCCTCTCCCTTGTCTGCCTCCTGATCTGCATCTTTACTTTCTGCTTCTTCCGGGGGCTCCAGAGTGACAGGAACACAATCCATAAAAACTTGTGCATCAGCCTGTTTGTGGCAGAACTTCTCTTCCTCATTGGAATTAACAGAGCGGACCAGCCGGTAACTATCCAGTGAGATACTGAAGCCTGTTCTTTGCTCCCCACATGACTTGTTTTAAAGAGAAATTGCCTTTTTTTGCCATTGCTCCAGCAAACTTCAGTGGCAAATCCCTGCTTTTACCTGTTGCTCTAGTTGCTCTGTGCAAGCATTGGTTCACTCTGTAGCACTACCATTAGCATCAGCCCTAAGACACCATTGGATACTGGCCATGGATGGTACTAAATCACATATTAATTGCAGTTAGGATATTCAGCTCAAAATAGACATGCAGAGATGAAAGATAATAGTAATACTAGAGGGAGAAAAATCTTAATTCGAAAGAGGAAAAATAGATAAAGAGAAAGATAAGAAGCAAAGGGTATATTTCTACTATTTGGTACTGAATTAGAATTCCTTCTCTTTTCTGAGTTTCCCCCACCTTATACTGAAATGTTAAGGCAACATGTTTTTTATTCCCTGGGTCCTTTAGCCCTTCTGCTACTCTCTTTCTGATACTTCTTCCTCTCCCTACAAAAACCTCTTGCTTTTTCAACTGCTTTTATGGCCATCTTCTGTTGCTTCAAAGGGTGGCTTAGTTGAAAGGGGAGGACTTTATGAGTATCATACATCTTTACCAGATTGGTTAGTCATAAAATTCAGTTCCTTGTCCCTTTTTAATGTTATCGATTCCTTACATAGCTAACAGGACATGTGCATTTTTCATCACCCCATGCCAAATTCAGGTCCTGTTCAGATTAAAATAATCCATTTCATGCTTTGTCTTTTTGCTCTCCCAGATAGCCTGTGCGGTGTTTGCTGCCCTCCTGCACTTCTTTTTCCTCGCCGCCTTCACCTGGATGTTTCTGGAGGGAGTACAGCTTTACATAATGTTGGTGGAGGTCTTCGAGAGTGAACATTCACGTAGAAAATACTTCTATTTGGTTGGCTATGGTGTGCCTGCTCTGATTGTAGCTGTTTCAGCAGCAGTAGACTACAGAAGTTATGGCACGGGAAAAGTGTGAGTTTCATTGTGTGTCCAATTTATTGTTTTAGTGGAATCTGAGAAACCAATGCCAGTGACAGTGTTGGAAATAAATAGTTATCGGGAGACTGAGTCACAGTAATGAAACAATTCTCTCTACTACTTACTAAAGTGTCCATGAGCATATGTGGAAGAATGGAGTCCCCTTTCTAGAATACTTTAAATTCCCTAGAGAAATTGGCAACTTCTGCAAATCAGAAATTAATAGAGACTGCCTACTGAGAAATAATGTTTCATTTAAACATGCTAATCACAAGTAATGTTCTTATAATGCTGATACTGAAGTCCTAAGTAAAACAGTGAGGGGTGCAGTTGTAGTTTTTTGCAAGAGTTGTTGGAGGACACTGCTCAGAGGAAAGTTTCATGGTTCCACATACCTTGCTAGGAAAAGGACATCCTATCCAGACAACGAGGCTGAGGACATCGCATAGGATTCTAGAAGCTCAGATGTCTTAGCACTAGACTCACATGAGGTGCAATCCAGTGGCAGCAGGTGATCCTGTACTGTTCTGCAAATGGAGGGAGGGACTCTCTGGGAGGGAGGGAGGGACTCTCTGGGAGGGAGGGAGGGTGCCACCTCACAATCAGTATGTGAAAGGCTGTAACTGATGCTTAAAGCCCATTAAGAGAGAAATGGGGGCAACTGTATGGGGCATTTTGGCAACAGAGCACCTCCAGCACAACTTGTGGTTGAGCGAGTGGCATAGGGAAGGATGAGAAGAACATTGCTCCTATCCAGAAAGCCCCCACAGAAACCCTGATAGCTGAAAGCAGACAGAGCCTAGTTCTACTGAGGTGATAGGGCAGTTCCAGAGCTGTACTACTCACCCCACCCCAAGCATGGGATTATTCCCCATGAAGGTGACATTTCTAGTATAGGGATGGTGCTGCTGTGTACCTGTGTGTTTTATTGAAGAGAGTTCGATCACATGAATCCCAGTCCGCACTGTGAAGTCAAACTGTCTGCATATAGGGTTACCGCTAGTCAATGTATGAGGTTCATCTGTAAGACAAATAACAATGTTATGTTACCTAAACAGTGCCCAATGTTACTTAAACAGAGGCTGGGTTTAGTTGAGCCATGACTTCCCTGGGGGATTTGTGTTGTGTTGTGTGGCCCATGGAGTGTGGGTTATACAAGGGTTCCTTATTTAACTGTCCTGTGAGCCACACTTGCTGGGTTCACACTACACATAATCTCCCAGCAGGGGCTACATATTCCAAATGGCAGCCACATGCACCTGTCCTGGGTTAAATAAACTGCCCCACTGATTGCATCCAATTTCTTGACCTCTCTGATTGCTAGCTTAGCTACAATGCAATGCTTAACTTGCTATCTAAAAAGTGTTTTTAACTTAAAAGCTGAAATACTGCTAATACAGCAGGAAGGGCCCTGAGTCAAACAGGCAGGGGCGGCCCTTATACTGTTGTGAGACTTGGTTGCCTTGTTTACAATTGCAAATCTATGAATGTCCTTATTAATAATGAAACAAAAATTAAAATAGTTGTTAAGATTTCCTAGGCTGTTAATATGCTGTATTGTCTCAAAATTAAGATGGGATCTCTAACATGACTAAACTTTTATTCCTGCCTTCTGCTACATAACCTCTGGATGGCACTGTGGTATAGAAAAATAAAGCAATTACTCTAGTGGAAACTTGCACTTTGTTTCAGGATGAAAATAAAATCATTTTTCTGTATAAAAAAGACCACCACCCCAAAAGCCTCTTAAAATACAAAAGCGACACTAGAAGTTCGCACTGTTGTCCAAAGCACCCGTAATAACCATGAGAAAGGAACGATCCATGCACAATACAAGCTTTAGGTGACAAGGCCTTAGTGTAGCACCGCACTGTATCTGCAAGAAAACTGCCTTTGGGTTTTTAGCCAGCATCTACTGCAGTAGCAATGCCTGCTTTTTCTGGCCACAGGGTTTTGGCTGCTTGGCTATTCAACTGAGTTATAATCACTAGAAACAGGTTTGCCTCTCCATGCAACGCTTAGGAGCGGGGGAACTAGAAGTGATGAATAGAAATGTTCCACAGGCAAATGCAGGTGTGCTGTGAGATTCTTTCCATGTCTCACTCACATGCAAATCCTAGGATTGGGACAAAAAGGTGCTTTGCTTATACTTGAATCCAAACTAACCTAATTTACATTTTCCTCAACTATTAAGTGAAGTGGAGCACAATTATCCCTCACTTACTGCCCTTCTTTGAATGCTGGGCTGCAATTTTTGCAATCAGCTGCCATCCCAGATTGGCCATCTGCCTGTGTTTCTTGCCTTTTGCAGAGACAACACGCTGGTTTCAATTGGGGCACAGCATGCGGATGCACCTTTTGTGGGAAAGTCGGGAAAGTATGGGACTGTGAAATTATGCTTATGTTTGCATTGTTTTACTGTTCTGCTTTCACTTTTTGCTGTATAATTCCTCTGTTAGTTGGAGGAAGTGAGTTACAGAATAGAAGATTCTTAGGCTGGGTTTCTGCACTGAGGTTTTGGGAAATTACAGTATAGAGAAAGAACGCTCCGCAATCCATTAGGCAGAATTTAGCAGACCTAGACTGACAACATTTCAGAACGGCAGCTGCTAAGTCTTGCTTCCCATTATGCTAAGTAGCTCTTCAAATTGCTAAATTGCCAGAGAGCTACACATGCGTTCATTAACTGTTTTCAAGTCCAGGAGAGCGCTGATGCTCACTCACTTTAATGGCAGCTATCTGCTTTGCTGAGTGGCTTGTTCAATAAGATTCTGCTCTGTGGACAACTTTATTCTCCTGGAATCAGAAATAGGGTTGCTGGCCACACTCTCACAAACTGCAGGTTGCTCAAAGAGAGACGTATTCTCCCCATACTGTGAAGCCCCCTTACCTGGAAGACCCTCTGAAACGCTGGCGACTTTCTCTGTTTAGGGGATGGGTCTCATCACATTATTGAGAACATGGTTTTAAAATTTTTTACAAATGAGAAAGAGCTCTCTTGACTCTTCTGCAATTGCATTTGTGTGCTTACTGGATATCTGTGGCATATATTAGCTTTTATCACTTCTGTTGTATTTGCATTTATAAGTCTAGGATTATAATAAACTATAATAAGCCATTAATTAGAACATAATAAAACACTTGGCTCTGACAAGCCGAAGTACAGAATAGAGAATAACAAGCAGGTAGAGAAGCAACTCAACATGGCCACCCTCAGTAAGTAGGAAAGAGGGTGCAGGCTGAGTTTGGATTCAGTTACTTTTGATCTTAGTGAAGTATTTTCCAGATTTCTGACAGATGCAGTTTAGTGTTCCTCTGCAATGAAACTTGATGAGAGCGTACACAGTAAGAATTTCCACCCCGGAAGAGCTCATCCTTTGTTTCTGAACCATTTGATTCGTGCCTCCTGTTCAGCAGCAGGAGGAAAGCCAAGAGCATCAGTGTGCATCATTTAATGGGACTCCTCTGAATGTGGGTTCTGCTGCATCTGACCAAGTAATCTGTTTCATGCAAAGCAGTTAATTGCCTACCCCTGCAGGTACTGACTGAAAGCAAGCAAGGTTAGTGAAAAAGCAAAGGCAGCTGTGTTGACCAGAAGAACAGTCTGGAAAACCATACAGCTTAATAGCTTTGCAGGGCCAGATCAGAGATCACATGTGCCTGTTCTCAAGACCAGATCTCTTCTAGGTCAGTAAAGTGAATCACAAAAGATGCAATTGATAAGCTTCTTGAGCAAACTGGATATTTTAACCATTAAATTTCTTATGGCATATTGGCAATTCTCTTATAGCAAGCTGCTTTGTCCCCAATAGTTTTTCATTTTATCTGAATAGCTGGTTCTTAACCTTTGTGAATGCAAATACACAAAACAACCAACAGAGAAAGATAATAACTATCACATGGGTGGATTTATATATGTCTGTCTTATAACTATTCATGTCCTTTTTGTCATTACAAGAAGTAGGAATGGAAATGTAATTTCCCCAAATCATTAACCATTGAGAGATATTAAATTAAATGATTAATAATTTAGTGGGATCATGAATCACCTGGCTTGAACCTAAAGGTCAGTGGCATTTCTAGAAATATTCATGAAAACAAAAAACCACTTGGATCTAATTAAACTTCACACCTTTTAGACTGGATTTCTTTATTCACTCAGTTGTCCAGATCTTATATAGAGGAGGAAAGACACCCACTGTGGAAACTGTCAGGCTTGTTGGACAGCAAAGATAGCTTGAACAGTCATTAAATCTTGATGTTTTAGGGCTTTGAATGAAGAGTTTCTATGACAGACATAGAGACCTTAGCAAATAAAATCCATGTGATTTTCTCCTGTTCCCTTCAGAGGTAATTATCTTACTCCATCAATAGCACTGTCAGAAACCTGGCATATAATTCACTATTTAAATGAACTAGCAATGTGATATTTCCTACCTCCTAGTGAAATATTTTACATTCTACATTTCTTCTGTCACTTACCCACACTTGATATATGACTCATATACAGTCCCTGAATGTGCTCTCGCTTTCTCTCTCTCTCTCTCTCTCTCTTTCTTTCTTTTTTTTTTTTTTTTTTTTTTTTTTTGCATTTCCACTGCAGTTGTTGGCTTCGACTTGACACTTACTTCATCTGGAGCTTTATAGGACCTGCTACCTTGATAATTATGGTAAGAATTAACTATCTAGTTTTTCTAGGTCGGAAGCATAATTTTTTAATTCATCTTACAGTTTTGCAAGTCTTTATAGCGTATAGTATGGAGGGGCCAGAGTTAAAATTTGGTGGGGAAGGGGAAGGAGTTACATAGGCCATCACCTGTGAAAAATGCAATGTCAACTCCCTGAAGAAAAGATGAAAGACTAGGAAGAGGCAGATTGTGGCATGAGCAGTTTGCACCTTGAAATTAACATGTTATTACATAATTCTTCCATAAGTGTTTTTTCTGTGTAACAAAAGTGTAGAGATTGGAATCCTTCTCTGCTCATTCTCATTTCAGAAGAAAACTTGTATGATCCTCTGCAGTTAATCTGCATTTCAAATTAACTTGAGTAAAATACCAATGAAAGTGAGAAGCAGATTCTGACTTTTTTGATACCTGGTATTTCAGATCAAAGAAGATCGAAGAATTTATTTTTTTAATTTTTTATTAAAATGTTTACCCTTACTGTTTTGAATTGCTTAGTCAACAGATCATGACATCATTCCATGGAAATATTGTTATTTTGAGCACCTGCATTTTGAAATCACACTATTTTGGTGGCTTGCAGAAGTCCTAGCTAGCACCACGCAACTATTCCACATTTTTTGTGGAACAACCTGGAACTGGAATAGAGCTAATTCTTAATTAATGGATTTATAGTCTTAATTGTACATTCTTGATGTACACAAGATGATCAGAATCATGCAGGTGCAAAATATTTTTATTCTGGCTCAAAAAATCAAGTAAAGAAAAACAAACTGGCAATCATTGGTTGTTGAAATATCTGCCCCCTTTGCTTTGATGAACCTAAATAAGTTCTAGTGCAACCCACTGCCTGCAGAATTCAGATACTGGATGAATGTGTAATTCCAGTGCCACATGATATCAGATTAAAGACACTTGTTTATGGAAGGCCTCAGAGGTTGTGGGAGAGCAGTAAACAAGCAGCATCTTGAAGACCAAGGAGCTATCAAAACAGTTCCATGGTAAACTTCTGCATCAATCAGGGTTGGGTTATAAAAAAAATCCCAGACTATGCATATCCAATCAAGAAGCAAACCAACTCTTTGCCATTGATAACTCTGGAGAAACTGAAGAATCTGCAAAATAGATGAGAGAAACTGTCCATGAGACAACTATGACTTAGATAATCCACAAGGCTGAGCAAGAGTGGTAAGAAGGAAGCCTTTGCTGAAACCCATATCAAAGTTGCCAACAGATATGTGGGAAACACAGTAAACATGTGGGGAAAGGTTCTTTGGACTGATGAACCCAGCCTCAAGCTGTTTGGCCTTGCTGCAAAATTAAACTTGTGGTGCAAAACCAACAGCGCCTATTACTCTGATAACTTTCCCCACATTGATGCAAAGTACTGGGAGCATCATGTTGGCAGGAACTGAGAAACTAGTGGGGACTGAGCACAAAATGAATAGCGCCAAATACAGGGCAATTTTAGAGGAAAAGCTTCTCCAGTTTGCACAGGGCCTGGGACAGGGTGAAGGCTCACCATCAGTAGGACAATGACCCTAAACACACAGGCAATGTAACAGCAGAATGTTTTAAAAACATTTAAAATGTGGAGCAGCTCTGGTAGGAAGAATGGGCAAACAGTGCAAGATCCAGCTGTACAAAGCTGACAGAGACCCAAGTAGACCTGCCAAAGGGGTTTCTACCAAGTACAGACTTGGGCAGGACTTACTATTAAGTATATCATGACCTTCAAGAATGTCAGTTTATTTCACTTTCAAGTTGTAACACAACACAATGTTAAAAAGCCAAAAGTTTGCATGAATAATTCTGTAAGGCATGGGGGAAGCATTTTGAATAAAGAACAGAAGTAGAAGAAATTTTTAGATTTAAAATTTAAGAGCCCATGTAACATAATGGACATGCACATGGTGGGCATGTTGTGAGCGGAGCCGGCTGGAGTCAGGGGTCAGACTAGATGGCCCAGGAAGCCCCTTCTGACTCGCTCTGTTTCTATGTTTCTATAATGTTTAGACATAATGTACTTGGGGCTAAGATCTGCATCACCCATCTCAGCCATGAAGCTTACTAGGTGGCTTCAAGCCAGTCATGGACTTTCAGCTCAACCTAAGGTCACAGGGTTCTTGCAAGGAAAGATGAAGAAAGAGGAGGATGAGGATTATTGTAAGCCATCCTGAGGCTTGTACAAAGGACAGGGTAGAAATGTTTTAATTAAATTAAAATTAAATTAAATTATATGTAAGCTGCCCCAGGTTCCTTGCAGGAAAAAAGGCAGGACATAAATATTATAAATAACTAAAAAAGCAGAATGGAAATAAGATTTAAAATGGAAAATTAGGGTTAATAGATCTTATTTAGCTGTGTTAGAACAAGGTAAAATCCTGATGCATGAGACAATGCTATATTTCTAGCCTGATTTCTTTAACTCCATTAGCCACATTTTGATTTCACATTTTGAAACAGCATTATTTTGCCCCAAAACACATTTTCCCTCCATCTTTCCTGAATGCCTTCCACCTGAAGAGACAGGCTGCATGGCCAATCATTTCTGGATTCTCAGTGCCCAGTATAGCTATACTGTTCAAATAATGCTCTTTGTCCAGAGGTTTATTACAGCCAGACTGCTGGGCGGAGATAAAGCCTTTGGTATGAGATCAGATTGCAAGCACTTAGGCTGAGCTCCGCATCCCTTCTCCCATGCAGCCTACAAGTGGGGATCTGTAATAAAAAGTTGCAGAGTTTTTGCCCTACTTTGCATGTCACAACAGCCCATGGTTGTTTAAAAGAGATTTGGAACCCATGGCCTGCTCTTGGGTCATAAGTTTGGTTTCTTCCTCCCCAACAATACAAGGCTCTGCATCTGACATGACATGATTCCAGTCAAGGATGAAGAATCCCTGGGTGGTGTGGTTTCACAGGAGCAGCTGGAGGGGAGCTGGGATGCTTTGGCTTGTTCACAGCTATATTGATCCACTAATCGTAGCTGCAATGTGCAAACTTGGCCCATGTCCTTAAATGAGTGCTTTAACCAATTTTCCCCCATTGCTTGTCCTCAGCCCCTGGAATTGAATGATTTACTGCTGCAGAGCATGGGATTTCAATTTAGGTACAGAAAGGGGTAAATTAAATGCCAAGTGGAAGAAGTCCATCATTCTATTCTACCATATAAAATAAATAAAGTTATAATGAACTGTCTGGGTATCTATATTTCTGGAAAGCAGCAGAATAATAAGCAGCTGTCTTTAGAAGAGTTGCCACAACATATGTGGTTCAGTGCCTGTTAAATGCTGCTGTGGAGATACTGCCAGAAAAGCAGGAAATGATGATGGTTCCCACAACATTGCTTTCCTCTTAGAGGACAGAATGGAATATCTTTAAAGCAGCTTTCCCAACCATAGTAGTTGTGGTGGAGAAGCATTCTGCTGAAGACCTCATTCATCCACAGTCTGTCACAACTAGTTGCTTGTCTCTGTAAATAAGTGAATTGGGATGTGGATGAAAGTCTCACTGCACAATGCTGTTGATCAATGAAACTATGGGTACAGTAAAACAAGGCAGAAGGGACTTCCAGATGGAAGGAACCTAACATGTAGAAGGCATCATGCCACTATTTCATCGTGTCTTACTTAACAGATTTTTTTCAGAGTAAGTAAAGAAAGGGAAGCATCTGTGGGAAGACTCAGGAGGGTTCTGTCAAAGGGCGAGTTTGCATGTCACACTAAGCTATCCTGAAAATAAGTCACCATAGATTGGCTGTTTGCTTGGTAACTCACATTACTCCTGACAGACAATCAGGCATGCTGAAGCTTGCCATGGGTTGTTTTCCTTTTAGTCCTCCTGCCTCCTCCTGGTATATATCCCAGATGCCTTTGCAGCAGAAATCCTCTGTGTCGGCATGCTGAGGTTCCCAGTTCCTCCCTCAACCACATCAACTTGCCAAATGCATGATTTTCTGTGAATGTGGCAATGCATTCAAAAACTTTTAAAAAACCCTTTTAATTGGGATCATGCACAAGTACACAGGAGTCTCCCTAGTATTTAGCCTAGCATAACAATATCCATCTCTTGCCAATGTCCTCGTCAGACTTACCCTTCACTTTGGCACTTGCCTTACTAGTGAATGGCATTTTTACAAAATGCTTCCTGCAGAAAAAGCTCCTGCAGCCCGACCACTTTTGGCCCCCACCCGCACCTCCGTGCCTGTTGCATCCATGTTGGCTGTCAGAGAAACCTGGGGGTTCCAGAGCAGTGTCCAGGAGAAAGTTTTAAAATGGTCAGGGCAATGAGGTAGGGCTGTGGCACCATAAAGGCTTTGTCTGGAAGTGTGTTGCCCCCTTACCTCATGAACTGGGACTCATTTCAACACCCCCCACCATTCAGAGCAGCAGCAATGTGAGGCCTGTGCTTGCCTGTGTGAAGCAGCTAGCTTTCCAAATCTGATTTGCTGTGTGAATGGGGTCATCACTACATCCGCACATGGGCTCCAGTTACGGCAAGCCTGGGGCGCAGCAGCTGTACACTGAACGGGTCCTCAGACAGAGATTTCCTGGTTTCTTCTGGGCTCCCTTTTCGCCTTACAATGTTTGCATGTGAGAATGCAGTGCAATATTAGTGGAAACACTACCTTGCAGATAAAAAACAAATTCACTTAGTCTAAGCAGCAAATGCAGACACTCGAAACATGAAGTGTGACTTTTCTGACATATACACTTAAAGGATTAACAGCTTGCAGGAAACAGTGCCACTTTTATCTTTTCAAGAGCAAGAGCTTTCTAATAATAAAAGAAGGCACCATATACTCCCAATCACAAGATGCTCATCTTTCAAGTTACACAACACTTGTCATGATGAATGGCTCAACTCAAGAGTTCTTAATGTGGTTTTCACATTTGGAGAGCATTTTTGTGGAGTTTGGGGGGCATTTTCCCTTCTAAGAAAAACACATGTTGGGAATAGAATGCAGGTCTTTTGATCTCACCGCTAGAATGGGTTCTTTTTCTTCTTTGAGACATATTCTTGTGAGGAACAGAAGAGATGCAGAATGTGTGCCTGCCCCTTGTTTGGGGAAGGGATCATCATCCTTTAAGGAATCCAGGTGTTCTGTCCCTGGTCTTAAGGACATATACAAAAACAGTGCTTGACAAGGAATGTGCCTGCCGTCTTCATGAAACTTGCAGCAAAGTAATAAAAGCTGACAAGGTCACCACTTGTGCGGCTCCTTGAGAGTTCACTTTCAATAATGAAAGCTTCCTTTGCATAGAGCTGTTGTTGCACAGGGCACCAGGATTTGCTTTGTCTAGTCGTCACAGTATGGATCCTTTACCGTTGCTTCCTATACACCCTGTTATCCTGCCTTTAAAGATGGGCTCATGTAGATTCCTACACAGCAGTGCCACTGCTGTGTCTGAAGCATAAGGATTAAATAAGGCTCCACGAAGACCCAGAAGAGCAATGTGTCACTTATTTTCCTGCAAGAAGCCTCGTTAAAACTCTCAAACACCCTGACTTTGCATTGCACTAGAGATTTTATTTCAAAGATTTAGAAGCCACCTTTTTAGTATAACCTTCCAAAGGCAGTATACAATAAAATTTTAAACCAGAAATGACAATAGAAGGAGAACAATAATAGGAACTATGTTAAGGTCAGAACTGCCTGGTCAAGCAGATAGTGCCCAATATACAAGACTTTCAGCAAAACTCTACATCCATTGAAGCCTCGCCAAGATGATCAGTCCCCCCCTTGAAGGCCTGCATGCCCCTTTTCTGCAACTCACCTTGCAATGCAAATTCTTTGGAATGACCTTACAGACTAAGGGGAGCTCACTCCTGATCTTGTCTCACCTGCTCCCAAAAATGCAAAGAACAGACAGACTCAAAGGCATATGTTGACAGCCAGGGAGTGCTGGGTCAGCATTGGGTGGGGGGCGGATTACACTCTTCCATGCAAATTAAAGCCCTCCAAACAGAATGATCAAGACTTTTTCTCTGACATCTAGTGTTCTCTCTATAGGATTGTGCATGCATGTGTGTGCGTGCACGTGTGGCGTGGCGTGACTTGGTGGAGGATGCAATCATGGGAATCTCCGTGTTGTGAACTGGCACAGTGCATACACTGATTTATCTCAGAGAAAAGTAGGGCTTAAATTCATCCCTGTCTTCTTCTCATATCTTGGCATGTGACTCTCTGCTGTGTTTTGTTTTGTTTTTTAATTTCAGCTTAATGTAATCTTCCTTGGGATTGCTCTTTATAAAATGTTTCATCATACTGCCATATTGAAACCTGAATCTGGGTGTCTCGACAATATCAAGTAAGTGAATCACCTCTGCCTTAACTCTTCCATCTGGGTTACTTTTTGAACAATTCTCTTATGATAAAGACAGCAGGAAAATGTGGGGTTGGATCTAGATTAGGTTCGTTGCTGCTACAAGTTCAAATCACATGGGCACTAAGTACAAATAACAGTGTTTGTTGTCTTGTGAGTCAGCATTTTACACTAATGGTCTATTTTCTTGAGTAAGGTGCCATTCATACATAGAAGGTACACAAGACCTGCTTTTCCTTGAGAGTTGGCACTTCACTTGAGACAGAGGTTTGCCAAAGTTATTCCCAGGGAGCGACACACAAAATGTACACTGTCACACAGGTGCATCTTTTCCGTAAAACTGCCTGTTGAAATGTGAGCTTCTGCTTCAACAACTAAAAGGCATCTCGGACTGTGCAGAAGGCAGGATGAGACCTTTGTAAATGTCTAACCCAAAAGGCAGATGTTAAAAATAGCAACCATGAATATATAATGCATTTATCTTTCTACAACACAAAATAAAAACAAATAATTGTTTCTTAACACGTAAGTAAATAATGGGCAGAAGCATATCGATGTCTTTCATTGTCCTTAGGAGCTGAAGCGTTCCACCCTGGTGACAGGTGCAAATGTTTTAGAATTTATATCTGAGTAAATTTTGAATGTTTTCATAGACTACTCACTAATATTTTTCATTGTGAGTGAGAGCACCTTTTCTTGCCCATGGCATCTCTTCTTTTCTAGGATTTGTCAGTGTTTAGGTTGGTTTGATGACATAAGAAGACCCCAGTACTGAGTCATCTCTGCTCTCATGACTTGTATTCAAACCATGCACATGCAGAATGGAAGCCATTTGGTCTGGATCATTTCAAATGGTTCTCCAAGCCTTGGTTCGGAGGACTGGAAGCAAGCAGTGAGCTCATAAACATGTTCCTCCTTTCCAGGTCCTTGTTTAGTTCAGTCCATAGTTTGCTGTCCTGTCTAGATTGGCAAACTGTGTGGTTAATGCTTACTAGCCAAACCAGAATGGTTTGCTAAAGCTCTGTTTTATTTTATTTTTGTTTTTGTTTTACTGCCATAGTATCAGCTGAGATCTTATAATTAAATACTATTTATTTCCATCTGCTATTGTCCACCAGTCTAAGATCTAGAACATTCATGGCTGGTCTATTTCTTGTTCCTCTTCTGCTTCCACCTCATTTGAAATTATAACTGCAGTTACATCTGAATCTTACATAAACAGTTTATTTATCAATTGACTGGGGGAAAAATAAATCGCCTTCCTTTAGAGTGATGGGGGGCACAACCTTTTCAACCCAAGGACCAAATGCAGTGTGGGCAGGAGCTCCATGCACATGGACATGTGTGGTGAACTGACATAGATGCACACACAGATGAGAGGAGTTTTTAGTCTTCCCACCATCCCAGGAATCCTGTCCAGGATTGCTGGGCTAGGCTATGGCTGCTTTGGGGTCACTGAGGAAGGGAGGGCCCTGAGCCCAACAAGCATCATCAGTACTTTGAAATCCCTGAGGGCTGAAGGAGGCTTTAACTTCCCCTTCCTCCCAGTGATCCAGATATGCATGGCTCCTACATACCAGGAATTGCAGGGAGGGAGCGTGCAGCCCGTGAGCAGCCCTGTTTTGAGGATCCCCTCCCAAGGCAACCTACAGTACCATATCAAACAACACAGAAACAGTGACAATACCAATTAAAATCAACACCATAGATAGACCACTACCCAACAAAAGCAATAGAAAGCCACCTTCAGATATGTACATAGTAAAGAACAGGAGAAAAATGGTGGTTCAGTTACTCGACAAGGATGGCAAAATGATAACAGATGACAAAGAAAAGGCAGAAGTGCTCAGATCCGACTTTGGCCGAGTCTTCTCCCAAAAGAAGATCTATGACCTCCCTGGCAAAGGTGAAGTATAAGCTGAAGGGGCAGGATTGCAGCTTGAGATTGATGGGCAAGTAGTCAAGAAGCACCTCCAGGGCCTGATGGAATACATTCTAGAATAATAAAGGAACTGGTAGAAGAACTCTTAGAACCATTGTCTATTATCTTTGGAAAATCCTAGAAGTTTCTACTGCTAAAACTTTTAAAAATCTAAAGTAAAATTTCCAGGTAAAAGTTACAGGAAAATATCAGAAGCAGCAGCAGAATTAACTTCCTATGGGACTAAAAATTCTAAAAACACTTAGGGTGCAGTCCTACACATGTTTAGGCAGACAAAAGTCTTACACTCCCAAGCATTACCCAGCCAACACTTCAACAGGTTTCTTTTCCAGATCATGTCAGAAATTAACACAGAACCTGCATTATACATAGTCTTAGTTTGCCAGTGGGGATGTGAGGATTTGTAGGAAGAAAGTTCTGCTGAGAAGCTGTAGCCAGCTTTGCCGCTGCGTCATCTACTACTTCTTCGGCCCACAAGAAAAGTGGAAGGGACTTTGGGAGTCCTGGAAGTGGGAGGCAAAAACAGGCAGCTTGACAAATTTCAGACAAATAGGTACAGGGGGTGGGCGGGGGGGGGGGGAGCTGTGCTAAGCACCTCTTCGTTTGTTTTTAAAAACTCCTGATAATTTTTCATTATTACTTCTTGGCAGAATTGAATGTGTAAATACCATTGTCCCTTTTCAGGAGATCAATTTTAGGTGAATACGTATGAGAAGATTTTAGAATAGTGCCTTGTAAAATTTAAAGCTTTCCAGAAGGATGCTCTGTGGTTTTCTGAACAGTTTTTAATGAATTTGGTAGGATTGAGCTAAGAAATTCACAAAATTTCGGATGGATGTGGAAAGGGACAACCTTTACATTTTGAGGGGAATGATTCTCTCTATCCCCTCCATTTGGGGGTGGGGGGGCTGTCTGTCTGTTTACAATGTGTACGAACTGCAAATAGCATATAATATAGATTTGTTCCCAGGTAAGACATCTATAAAATGAGGAGCAGGGACCCCCATGCTGACATGGGCAACTGGCCTGTCGAGCTGCTCCTCTTATGCAGGTTTTACTTTAACACAAAATGTAATTTATCCTGACAAATTGCAAGCTGGAAATGAATAATTCTGTTAGGCACCGAGACAGGAGAAGTAACAGCTTCTTTAAACTTAACACTACACTTTGAAAAAAGAGAATGAAAAGAAGAAGGCCAGACCTTAGGCCGAACCAACTCTCCCCCCCCCCCCACCCCTACACATCCCTAAAGGAGGATACAGATTCAGTGACTGAATTGACACATCAGATCAGAAGCCTGAGGCAAGAATGGTCTAACACTATCAAACTGCTGGAATCTATGGTTGATGATGTTTTCCTACAACTTCAGGGCATTGCAAAAACTGCTAATGCAGTTTTTGGGTGTAGAACAACAAAAGTATGTATCCAGGCTTGTGAAATCAAAAGGAGGACTTAGTGGGGAAGCAGAGTTACTGGAAAACCATAGCATGTGCTCAGATCACAGATTTAGGGGCTTAAAGGGTCAATGGAAGGTCAAGACATAATTACCTGCTTGATAAGCTGGCTGAAGGAATCATTTCCTGGCCTGACTATAGCAAAGCCAGGCATCAAGAGGACCCACAGGGCTGTCTCCCACAAGCCTCCAGCTGGCACTCACCCAAAACACATCACAGCACATTTTGCCAACGCTGCAGTTAAAAAGGCACTATTAACAGAGCCTCGGGCAGCAAGCAGCTTTCCTTTGGTGGTGAAGTAATCTAGCTTTACCTGCATGGAGTATCTAAATTGTTATACATGGAGGCACCCAGTTAAACTTACATGGCTGATGGACATGTGCCATCCAGTCAAGGTACTTTTAGCATAGGAGTACGGAAGAAGTGAGGCAGTTCCCCATCACCACAATCACTGATGAATACTAATCTCCAGATTTCCAGCTTTTATTTAAATTAGAACAAGTATCTATTCCCTGTAGAATGTGAGATATGTAGCAAAATGTACATATACTATTCTTCCCCTTTGTTTTGTGAGAAATTAGCCTGCTCCTACCTTTCAGTGTTTCAGATAATGAATAGCAATGATCTGCACAGCCACTGTCTGAAGAAGGAACTTCCTGATTCATTTTTAGCCTTAGGAGGTGTGAACAAGCACTGGTGATGGAGAGGAGCAACCCCACTGGGCTCTTGCCACTGGGCCCCTGACTCCTGGAGATGCTAGTCTTGTGCCTCTCCCTTTTCTCCCTTAGTGGAAGCTTTTGTGCCAAAACAGGGTGCCATGCAGTTCCTTGGGAGCTAACGTTGCACTGCAGCAGTAAGGAATCCTTCAAAGCAATGAAGGTACCCAAGTCTACTGTGTGATGGTTGGAGGCAAAGCCTAGGAGTAGATTACAAGCTAAGAAGGTCACCCCAGCCCCCAATTAACTATACTCTTTATGCCTGCAATGACTGAAAACCATTACAGGGATTAAGGGAAGGGAGGCCAGAGAAAGAATGGGGGGTTTCTGCTGTTGGTGGAAAGATGCTATGGATACCAGATCTGTTGTCCATGAAACATCAGAGATGTAGACCTGGTACATAGGCCAGCTCTACTTATTTTGGCAGACCTGCTGTCCAGACTTGCTGCTACTCGGGCACCAGGTCTACCAGAAATGCTTTCAAGGCTAGTAGAAAAATGTGCAACCATATACATATTTAACAGCTTCTGGTGGGGGGGGGCAGGAAGGCTTTTCAGTGGAACATTGCTGCTGCTGTCCAAATTTAAGCCAAATTTTTAAAAATGTACTGTTAACCAATGTAAAACCTGACTAATTAACAAAATAGATTCAAGTATAAGTCATCCAGACGCCTCTAGAATCCTAAACCCTGATCAAGTATACCCATTTCTCCTGCATTGCTTTCCTCTACAGCATGGTCACCAGTATTTGTAGCGTGAAGGAATTCTTTGTAGGATAAGTCTTGTTGTGAAGCTGTTGTTGTTGTTGTTAATATAAGACCAGTGATGCCATTCCATATCCATTATGATATTCTTAAGACTGTGTGTGTGTGGA